AATTTAGGATTGATGGATGGATGGATTAATTTAGGATGGATGCATGGATGGATGGATGGATGGATGGATGGATGGATGGATGGATGGATGGATGGATGGATGGATGGATGGACCTGTAAAACTAAGTAAAACACAACTTTAACAGTAACTTTAAGGTAAACTTTACAGCGTAGAACTGGCAGTGAGATGAAAGCATAAAAAATACACATTTGATCTAAACGGGGTTAAAAGATCAAAATAAAACCTTGGGTTTAGTCATTTTCTTTAAAGATGTGATTTACTTTCATCTTTACAAGCTGCAGTGAATTATTCTGTTATTGAGTGTGATGATGCAAACCCAGGAAAGGCTTCCTTCCTTGGGTTTCAGCTATTTTTAGACGCCCTGCCGTTCGTCTTCAGGCTCTACGACGCCACCAGGAAGAGCTCAGCTGAGGGCATCTGGAGAATTCATTTCAGTGATGTCAGAACCAGAAAAACAAAGGAAGTCTGACGGTTTGCAGCACGTTGCCCTCGATGTCCTTTTGGTTTCAAAAATGCCTAAAATATGGTCAAAAATGACAAATTAGCTTAAAACTGGAGGACAAAGAAACAATTTTACATAAACTTAACCAGTTTTTAAACCAAAAACAATCTATTTTAACTGTTTTAGTTTTAAAACCCTGCATTGTCTTCAGTAAACCCTAAAACCTATTCATCAATTTTAGATTTTAGGTTGAACGTTTATTTATAGCTAGCTAAGACTTATAGCCAATGCATCTATTGGCTAATTGGCTAATGGCTATGCCTAGCTAGTTACAGCTATTAAGCTAATCATAGATATAAGTGCTTTTAGCTAACTACATCAACAAAAATACATTTAGGTTTTACCAGAAGTTAACAGCTCATTAGTTAGTCATAGACAAAGTTATTCTAGCTACGTACCTAAACTAGAAATACTGAGTTGAGATTAGTTAACTAACAATTAGCTAATCATAGCTAAGAGAGTGCTTCTAGCTATTGCTAATGGCTATGACTAGCTAGTTAACAGCTAGCAAGCTAGTCATGGACAAAATACTTCTGGCTACATACATTAACTAGGAATACTAAATCATGATTAGCTAACTAACAGTTAGCTAGCCAGTCATAGAGAAAATCTACATTAGCGGCGATTAGCAATTAGCTAGCGAACTAGCTAATTACTTTCACAACTATGCTGTTTTTC